AAGCTTCAAGGAAATGTTAGAAAATATGGTTAATTACATGATTTGAACACACATTTTAAGTTAGTGGTGGGGGTACCTGACTGTTCCAGAGGATGAAAAGGGGTACGCGCTTCAAAAAGGTTGAAAAGCCCTGCGGATGTAGTGAATGTCAGCTTAAAGAGGGTCAGTTTTCATTCCTCTAAAGAGGAAGGACACAGTTACTTTATTATCGGTTTTCGGATGTCTTTTACGCTGAATAGCTTTAAAATTTATCCTTTGAACTTCGAGTCACGGAGGTTCATTAATGCACTCTACTCAAAGGAATTCAGACAGGGACTGGGAAAAATTTGACATAGGGAGGTTCGAATAATCGGGGTTCACCTGGACTTTCGATTAAGATTATCTTATTTCACAATACGACTTACGCTTCGTCGACTGGAATAAGGCTCCTTTTGCACCACAGACACAACACTGGACAACATCCCGTTGCCCCCAAACTTGGACGCGATCACAGACTTGACTGGAACTTCCTCGGGTTCCGAATCCACTGGCGAAGGAGCATTGGGTTCTGGGGACGGAACTGGACTCGGCAAAGTTCCTTCACATTCCATCACCTTTTCATGAATGTCCTTCAACCGGTTCTCAAAGTTTTTGTAAGCCTTGGTCACAACTTTGGCTTCCCTACGAGTGCGCGAATAAAAGTAGTTTCCGATTTCTGCGATCCGAATCATCCGCAGTTTGTCTTCTCTTTCGGATTTCAGTGATGAGCAATATTCCCGCAATGCGGACACGGATGCGTAGAACTCCGTGATCCGAGGGTCTCCGGGTTTGTACTCTTTGAATTTCTCCCGCATTTCGAGTACTTTGGAGAAGTTCAACTTGGTAGCTTCAAACGCCTTCTTGGCTCGTTCAGTCCGTTCTGAACTCGAGACAACTTTCGCGCACTGAGTAGCAAACTCGGAGAATCGGTAGGTTTTCACTGACTCTTCGAAATCTATCGGCTCCGACTCCGACTTCTGGTCGATGATGTCTTCCAAAGACCGGATGAAGTTTGCTTCGTAGATTTCTCTTTCTTTCCAGATGTTCAAAACGCGTTTCACTTTCCGACACACTTCTGGATCGGTCCTGAATTTAAAGAGTATGACACAATCAAAAGCACTGACCGGCAAATGAATAGTATTATTCTAGCAGTGAATTGAAACAAACTTTCCACACATCAGCAAGCTATGGATACAATTATTGTCTTATAAAATGTTTTCAGGGCAATGGTTCGAAGATAGCTCTGGTACTACGTAATTCAGCTCGGGTACCTTTCGCACTACATCCTTCACAAATAGTATGTTGCAATTCGAAGCTTAGTCGGTTTAAAGAGCTACATATTTGTAAAAGTTTTTATTTTCAATGATACCACGCATAAAACCCCAAAAGATACGAAAACCTCGTCTCGTGGAACGATTGTTCGTCGAGTTATTTCATCGTATCACCGAAAGCACACTTCCAAGAAAAACACTGCTTGCTAAAAAAAAACTCACCTGACAAGAGGCATGGCGAAGACGAGCACTTTGTTCCAACCTTCGACGAACTCCTTGATCTTCCGTCGCTTCGCATGTTGGACGATGTCATTCGCCAGGTAAAACAAAGAGACTCTGTGAGACCCTTTTTCGGCTAGAGAAAAAAAACCATTTAACACGCTGCGACAAGAGCTACAGCATGATCTTCCAACGAACCTTCTTTGAATGCACGAGACCAAGTGGAGATTATCTTGGGCGCAATTGAGAGACCCTTAGAGAGACACCACGTTGACATTCCTTGGATGTCATCCTGGGTATCTTTGAGGGTTTTCATTTGTTTCAGAAGAGATGAGTCCTTCTCGGCCATGTTTCTTGGCGTTTGGAAAGGTAATGGAACAGCGTCACTTCACTTAATACGACGCAGGTTTTTGACAGGATTGACTTCTACAGTCATTCCGAAACACACTTTCATGCTGTAAAAAGTAAGCGGATCGAACATTTAGGATTCAACGTTTGCGTGAACCAAACCATACAAGTTCCACTGTCATTTTATCGACCGATGACGAATCGACTCGCGGAGAGGACTTCTGCAACTATCAATCAAGATTCGGCGTAAGATGCAGATCATCGTTCAACGGTAGATTCATTCAACAAATAGATAACTGTTGAAGCGATTCTCATTCGCAATCCACCCGCTTTCCGATCGATCGCCCGCCGACTAACGTCACACGCGACACTAACGCAGTCTGGCGGTGAAGGGCGTCACAGCATACTTCTACAATCAGTCAACGATTAGTGGGTGTTATGAACAGCAGCAACAGCGGCAAGAGAGATACAGTACGTTACGTCATTTACACAATTTCTACATATAAAACGCAGGAGTCAGTTTAAACACTTTATTAATTCTTAATGTAGTCACCAAACAGATCTCTTAAATTCAACAGAAACAAGTAGCACCATATTCAGCAAACATTGCTAAAATTCATCACATAATAAAGGTAGAAAAATTTTCAAGTCAATCTGTTGGCCCACAAATACAAATCAATACACAAGGGCAGATGAGGAACTCATTTATTTATTCATCTTCACACAGTAAAATGAAAGTCCATACACACTATATTCACGCCACATGCAGCTGAAATCAGAACAAAAATGTTCATCAAAGCTGAATTGAGCGTGTCAAGGATCAAACACCTCATCAACCAGAATAGTGACTGGCCTACTGACATTTTCTTCCATTTCTTCCTTACACAGTCCTAAACATGTAGGGGCATCAATGTCAAACAAGTAATGAGATGCCACAGTCAAGAGGGCAGCAATTGTTGCAGTAACCCAAAATACCCCATGGTATCTGTAAACAATTACTGCTAATGTAAATGCAAAGGTTGCCAGGAAGTTTCCAAGTAATGACAAAGTATGTAATCCAGTCATGATCCACTGGGATGATGCTGGCTCACAACAGTTTACATGCAATACATCAACAATAGCACTGCCTTGAACTTCCTCAAATCCAATTCCAAGTCCAACAGCATACAGAGTCCACACAAAGTCTATCAGCCAGTTGAATTGCACATAATACCTGTTGAAATACAGCAGAGGAACACATAAATCTTCCAAGAAAAACTTGCAGTCTAATGAAGAATAACTCACATCTCAAGCAGCCCAACAATGGCAGTGGACACAGATAATATACACATTGAAACCAAAGTTCTTCTCCTGGTCCTCTTTGGCAAGGAAAAGGCCAGAAATTTGGGTGATGAACAGTCCTTTGAACTCCTTTGAAACAACCTTGAAGCAGCTATGCTGACAAGTAGCACAATAGCAAATCCAAAGTAAATTCCAGAGGTGATTTCTTTGGCTGCATCCAACAAATGAAAATATGTGCAAATAACAGGTATTGTCCCACAGAATGGCTGAAAGAAGGCATAAACAGCAGCTTTGATGAGCAGCAATTGCTTCTTTTTCTCAGCAGCTTTCTAGGATGATTTCAAAACGTCATCATACATTTTTTGGACAATATTGTCAAGAACATACTATCTCATCACTTGACTTGATTTGAGGCACATCAATAGTATAATAGAGGTGCAAATTGGGATTTTTCAGAGCCGTCATGACAGCTGCAGCATCACTGCCCTTGTCATGGTCCAAAAGCCAAATTGGTGACTCACAGGCAAAAAATGCAGTTGGCAAGAATAAAATTGGCAAGAAGGCATTGAAGACAGCCAACTGCATGTAGCCCAGTTTTGGTCCAAACACAAACTCAAAGAAGATACCAATTGCAAAGAAAATGGCTGACATTCTCTGAATGGCATGGAACATCTGAAGAGGAAAGAAAAAATTCATTCTTCACCACTCGCATGATGAGTACAGGAGAAATAACTTGCTTTATTGACAGAAATTTCCCTGGCATAAGTGTCAGCAAGCAGTGTTTCACCCAGACACAGACCTGTGATGGCTCTTCCAGCAATCATCCCACCAACAGAGTCAGTGAACAGTAAAGTGACCCACCCAGAAGTATGTAAAACCACACTCAGAACCAAGATCCATTTTCTTCCCATGATTTCAGACAGTTTTGTAAATATTGGCACAGCAACAGCACCAGTCAGGAAGATAATGCTACCTATAAAAAGACAACACAGCAGTAATTTCAAGATAATCAAAATTATAGCACATGGATGAACCATCAGCATACAATATTATAACTCACAGAAAACTGCAGCTTCAACTGAAGTCATGGCAGTGTCATTAGTGTCCTTCACAGAGGCATTATAGTCATACAGAGCATATCCAGAGTAGGCAATCATGCAGCCAGACAACAAATGGGTTTTCATGGCCAATGCAGCAACTCCCAGCTTATCAAAATATTATTTAAAGTCAAAATATTTTACACATGAGAAGAATACACTTGAATATGAAATATACCTGCCTGATGGAGCCTGATTCATCCTCCTGTAAATCAAGAAACACCTCATCATCATCACCAAGAACAAGTTGTTGCCCACTAGGGTGCTCTTCATGGTTGCCTTCCATGGCAAAAACTGAGTCAAATGGGCAACCCAACAGCAATCATTCTTTTTGAGATAAGGATACATTTTTACAGCTCCCTGGCTTTTGATAAGACTTCTAATAATCCATGTTTTATTGTCTTTGTTCTCTTTTCTGTGCAGCAAACATTAGTACAGAGGTGAGACATTCACATTGCAACAGTAAGGAGATTGCAACAAGTTTTGTTCAATTTAGGTGTGTTCTTGTACAGTTGTTGATTGCCATAGAATTCAGCCCCTGAGTCCAAAGCGCTTTGCAGACTGAACTTGCTTCCTTCTGTGCTTCCTGAGTGGTCCAGGTTTTGAATCAGCAGATCTGGTGGGTCTTCTCCAGCCCACAAAAGAGCTTGTGTGTCTGATGAAAGTATTAAAGATGAAAGAGCATTAAACATGACTACAACATTGAGTCCCACCAAAAAAAACCAATTTTTAAATCTTGCTCATAATATTTCTCAAGAATTTATGATTTAGAGGAACCTTTAGAATTTACAAATTGCAAAGAGCAGTACAGCAGTGAATCACAGAAACTTTTCACATGAACTTCATGGTTTACTTGGCAGAATTTCTCCAACTTATCATACTAAATTCAATACAAAAGTAATTCAAAATAAATATTCTTGGCAAAAGAGGGGCTACTTGAAAATCATAAAACATGCAAATGTGGCAGTTAAACCTCATTCTGTGACAAATACAGTACAGTACTGTATAAGGCAAACTTTCCACTCAAGTGTCCCAAAAAATTGGAAACACGGTCAACCAATGATCACATACTACAGCTGAACCTCTTTTCAAGTCAAATTCATACAAGGGACCAACAAAAAATGTAACTCAAGGATTTTTTTTAATTAAAAAAATTTGTGGGGGAAAGTTTTTTTTATTAGTAACAAGGTCTACAGTATATTGATTGATATTGAGATAATTCAGACAGGGATGACTATAAGCCAAAAGTATCCAATGGCAGGTTTATGTAAGATTATTTAATTGAGGGGAGAAGTCTCTAAATTGAGAACAATAAGGTCTATGTACCCTATTGTTTTCAATGTAATTCAGACAGAAACCCAACAAAAATTGGACATAGAGAGGCTTCAATAAGACAGGTGTCCAACTGTGTCCTCTAAAAACCATGTCCATCTTCAAGCATCCAATATTCCAAGGAAACAAACATTATTGATTCAAATATCATAGTTCACTCACTCAATATGGCCACCCAATTCAGGAGAAAACTCAGGTACATGCAAGCCAGAGGCAAGTTCACATACCACCAAGCAAACATACAGCACAAATACTGTCAAAACGCATCCCTGAAATAAAACAAAAGCAGGATTTAAATTTAATTGAAGAAATTAATAATGAATCCAGATTAAAAAAAAAAACTCACAAATCCTTTCCATTCCATGATGATGTTGAAGCATCCAGCATGGAGCACAGAGTGTAAAGCCTAGCCTGAGAACCCATCCTCTTTAAATACAAAACAATGCCATGAGGAATGAATGAAGACAACTGGACAAAATGCGCAGATGGAGTTAGTTGTCACCCTGCTGGGTGTTTTTGTGTCTTCTTGAAACCAACACCAAGGAGTGGTGGTGGTGGTGGTGCTGGATAAATGACAGCCCACATGAGCACAGGTCTCATGTGGGGTTGACAGGTTCACATCAAGGTTTTTGAGGGGAGGGTTGATTGATTGGCAGCCCACACTGAGGAAACCTTCAGTTATTGTCTTTCTTCCAACAAAAGCACAAAAGAAAACCTGTTACATGCTTTATGCTGGTCAGCAAGCGGGAAAACAGCACCAGCATTCATTCACAGCAACACTTTTATCCCAACACCACTTTTTCTCCAAAGCAACAACACTTTTGTGTAAATACTCATGTAATTTAATTTTTGGTGACCATGAATCCTGGTAGACCTTGTATTACATATTTTTTAGAGCATATTTTCTTTGTAATAAAATTCAAATGCTACCCCCAGATTTTGTTTTTCTTTTTGGGTCAGCCCTGTTTTTTGTGTGTGTTTTATTCACACAAGATCTACTCATCTACCACAGATAACAACTCAACTCAACACATAAAATATATTTAAAAATTCTAATTACTGAATAATATTTTTGACACTCATTTTCTGACCTGAAAATTGTACTTACATCTTTCAGAAGCAATGGCTGATTTTAAAGCTTTTGTCTTTGTCTTGCATTTCATTTCTTGTGTATTTGATGAAAAATTAACTTATGATGTAAACAAGACTTACACCTATTCATCTGATGATTTAGTTTTTTTTTCAGAATATCTTTCAGTCAAAACAGGCAAACATTTATCAAGAGTACTGATGGAATGCGGGGAGGGGGGAGGGTGTTTCGAATTAAATATGTTCATAAATTTGGATTCAGTTGTTAGTCTTTGATCTGAAGTCTCAAACAACCTTTAATTTTTTTTATGAGAAGCCCAAAATAAAATTAGAACTGCAGCCAGATTTCTAATCTTTCATGAATTTTAAATTTTTTAAAGGAACAACAGAGTATCAATATTTAAAAAAGCAAAATAAAAAATGCAATGTGAAAATACATAGAAATCCCGATTATCCAAAAATTAATCAACTTGAAACCCTGTGAAAAAAACCTAGCAAAAATATGAATCAGAAGAGCCTGAATAATATCAATTATTCTCCGAGTGATCTTTATTTACTGTATAATTAACATTGTGTGGCAATAATCAAGGAATACATGTTTAAAATATTTTTGAATCCTAGCAAACTATTTTCCAAACAGGGGCAAATCAATGAATAACCCCGATAATACAGTATGTACGGTACAGTGTGTCAGTATTACAGTAGAATGCTGTCACAACGAATCTCGTTATAACAAATTATTGCTTATAAGAAATTTGCTTTTCGGCGATCCCTTTCCAATAGCCAAAGTGTTTTTCGAATTTCTCAACAAATTTGAGCTCGTTATAACAAAGCTTTTTCCTGCCCCAATTTCTGACAAATCAGTATCACTGGGTATTGTCAAAATTTTTATTGAAAACTGCAACCCCATCTTCGATTTAATTAAATTTTTGAACTTACAGTATTACAGAAAAGTAGAAAGAAATCACGGAAAAATTCAACGTGGTTTATTATTACAATATTATTATTTGTTATTGGTTTGTTATGTTTTATTTTTTAAGTTCAAGCATACGAGGAAAAATTCAACTGGATGGGAAAACGTCGGCACTAAAATGCCAAAAATAAATTCGATAAACAAGAAGAAAAAAAAAGTAAACGGTAAAAAGCAGAACATTTCGTATCGGAAAGTAAACGGGATTTTATTTCAGACTTGTCAATAAATAAAACAAGAAAATACAAAATAGAAACAATACATAAGTAATACAGTTGAAAAAAAGCACGTTAAATAATCTCTCCTTTCCAAAAAAAAGGTCCCATTCTTGTGCTGTTTTGTTTCTTTCGTGTGTCCGGACTCGACGGTGGCTTCTTATTCAATTTTTAAATAAGTCATTTTCCCATCATCATCATCATCATCATCATCAACCCCTGAAGCCGAATCTTTTGGCATTCTGGACCCTGGTTTTCCTCTTGGGCTCAGCCGGGTGCGGACGAGGCCACGGGTTAGCTGACCTCACTTGTCTGGACAGTATAAGGTCACTGTCGAATCAATGAAAACGTAACGAAAATGAAAATTGATAATCAAAATTCCAAGCATTTTTCCGCAAGAATCATTTCGGGGCTTACGAGGACGGAAGACCCAGACCCTCTTCGGCAAAGGCTTCTTCTTCAATTTCCGCCAATTCGTCATCAAAGGATCTCGCAGGGGATGATGTCACAGAGCCGGTGAAAATGCAAATGGCCAGCACAATCTGATGACACCAAACAAGGCAATTAAAATTTGGGAAAAAACCCATTTTTATAAATTACCCTCACGTATATAGAGGATGGCTCACTAAAAGTTTTTAAAATACTGCATTGAAATAATGACAACTTTACGCAGTAATTATTTTTACCAGTTTTCAAATTTCAGAATTCACATAAAACCAGGCATCAGATTGAAAATTAATTAAATTAACATTCATTTATATTTTGGATACTAAAATTTTTAGTCTGATGACACCGAACAAGGCAATTAAAATTTGGAAAAAACAATTTTAAAAAATTACCCATACGTATAGAGGATGGCTCTCCAAAAAAATTTAAAAAATATTGAAATAATGAGATCTATGAACAGTAATTATTTTACCAGCTTTCAAATATCAGAATTCACATAAAACCAGGCATCAGATTGAAAATTAATTACATAAACGTATATTTCTATTTTGGGGGCTAAAATTTTAAAGAAAAATTCCCAGTTCAATACAAAATTAATATATTATCTGCAATGAATCCTTTGGAGCGTTCTCAAATTTTTTCTTTGAATTCATAATTTTCAATTGAAACACAGCAACAAGTCCACAAAAATTTATATGACTAAATATACAAAGAAAAGTCAACAAGAAATGCTTGAAGTACAGTATAAAAATTGAGGCTTGTAGCTCGATTTTTTTTCAAGGAAAAAAGCATTGTTCGATACTAAAACCAATGTCCTTTCTGTGCTAAACCCTTTACAGTGTGCACAAATTTGCTGTGAAAACAAAACTATTTCTCTATGTTTCAAATTTCTATTGAAAATCAGACATGAAGCATCAAAATTTTTCCTGGATATGCAGTATGTCAATATAAATAATTGAAGCAGAAACATTTTGACTTGTGGCTCAAATTGTTCATTTGTTAATGAAAAAATGCTCTTTCCAATTAAAAAATGATATCCCTCTCTGCAATCAATCATTTAGTATCCAAAAATTTGATATTTTACTTGTGCTTTGTGTTTCAAATTTCAGCTGATATAAGAGCATCAACATTTTTGCTGAATATGCCAAGAAGATTCAAAGAGAAAGGTTATTTGAAGCAGACAATTTTAAAAGAACTCTTAAAGCCAAAAAATTGAAAAATAATCCAAATCTTCAGGAAAAATTCCTCATAAAAACTCCAGATACCGTAACAATTCTCTTACACCATAAAACCCCCCCAGAAGCACTGTACTTATTTGTAACTTCAGAAAACGCAGAGTAAATAAAAAAATGCAGTTGTAACTTCTATAGGAGTGACATCTACCTCAACCATAACACTTTGCCATTGTCATGGACAATGCAGGAAAACGTATTCAACACTATTACAGCAGTTCATCACTAAACTTCAACTATTTGGACATTTCTCAGAACATTAAATACGGTATATATCAGGATACAGAACTTGGCAAAAAATTGAACTTTATACTTTATATTCAATTAAAAAAAATTGAAAGTTTTGCAAAAGCAATGAAGGGATCAGTTGATAAAATTTTCACTCAATGAATAAATCTACAGCAGTTAAGGAACTCCAAATTCTAATACTGTACTTTTAGACAGGACAAGTTCAAGATTCTCAAATAAATTGCAAATTATACATATATATTTTGTTACAGAATTGTGAAGAGATTTTAAAAGATTCCAATCAAGTCAGCAGAGAAACTCACAGTAATCTGCAACAATTTACAGTCCATGTTTCAAAACGCGATTTTCCCTCTTTTTTCTCAGATCAACCAGTATTTATCACACTGTATATATTTATTTTGGCAAAAAAATCAAATTTATCCTTTTTTATTCAATTAAAAATTAAAACCTTGGCAACAGCAATAAAGGGATCAGTTTATAAATTTTTCACTCAATGAATAAATCTACAGCAGCTAAGGAACTCCAAATTCTAATACATTTAGACAGAACAAGTTCAAGATTCTCAAATAAATTGCAAATTATGCATATATATTTAGTCACAGAATTGTGAAGAGATTAAAAAAAGATTCCAATCAAGTCAGCAGAGAAACTCACAGAAATCAGCAACAATTTGCAGTCCATGTTTCAAAGCGCGATTTTTCCTCTTTTTTTTTTCTCAGATAAACCACTATTTACCACTGTATATATTTATTTAGTGTATCAATACACGGATTCTCGACAGCAGAAGAGCTAAATGTTCACTGACGTTATACCCTCGGAAAACCAGTCGGTTTTTATACAAGCGTCGCTTGTCCTTCCTTATATATACTGTATTGTATATAGACAAGGAAGGAATAAATGAAAGAAGGCGACGTACAAAATAAGAACGTCAATCAGGTCCTACATCACGCGGGCTTTTCAAAGGTTGACTTCGGGTCAACAGGCCATCATAACGTTTTTCCTTCTATTTTTCGTTAAAAAAAAAATGAAGATAAAAGATGGAATAATTCCTCTGGGAAATAAAAAGAATCCCGCACACTGCCAAAAAAATGCCGCACTTCCTCGTCCATAAGGGCACTATTTAGACAATTCTCTTTTCACATTTAAATTATACAGGGGGATTCCCTAAACTTTGGAACCAAGCAAATAATTCGGTTCTGTTTTCATAGTACACAAAGGAGCCAGAGGAGCCACGTACAACATACACAGTGGAATTTCGATACAACGAATCTATTAATAACGAATTATTGCTAGTTAGGTCTTGGGTGCGATATATTAAGTTAGATTTTAAGTAATGTTAAATTATACTGTAAATTAAAATCTTGTTACAGCTAACTTGTGGGGACTACAGAAAAAGTTTGTTACAGCAAATAATTTGTTGTAACAATTTTTCTGAAGTAAATGTTAATTTTAAAAAGTCCTCCATCAGTCAATATTTTTTAGAATCTCGTTATAACACATTATTTGTCATGACAAGATTTTGAAAATTTGTATGTACTACTTTAATAAAAAATCATTCGTTATGACGAGATTTTGAAAATTATCGCTTGATGGGAAACATTTTATAAAATGAACAATTACTGTACTACAGAAAAAAATTGTTGCAACAAATAATTTTGAAAATCTTGTCATAACATATAATTTGCAAAAATTATATTTTTAAAATTATTGACAGGAAGATTTGTAAAAATTAACCCTGCATTTACAGTATATTCAAAATCTTCCTTTTGTGGCATTTTAGATGTTTTTCTGGGTTTGAAAAATTGTAATGCTAAAAATTTTAATGTATAATTTTTGGCACATTCTTTCAAGACCAATACATTTTGAAAATCTCCACCGTGAAACTTTTTGGATCAAACCTGCGTTTTTAAAATGTATTTGTCCTTCGCGTAATTCCAACCTAATTTATAGAAAAACGTGGTACAAAAACAAATACCAATTATCTTCCTAATGCATGTTTCACAAGGTATTAGAAAAAATAGGAAAAATTAAATATCAACGGTTCGTCAACAGCCTGGAAATCAAATATGATTCATCGTTCAGATTAAAAAAAAAAAGCATTCCCACGAAGTTGATGACTTCTCATGGATTAATCTTTCAAAAAACTGCCCTGACACTAGTTTCGAGAGACTTCTGTCACCCAGTGTATCATTGCACAATGACACGGGGAAGTAGGACAAATCAGTGGTCAATGTTGGACATTAATAAGAATAAGGGGCCGCATCTGGTTCGAACGCTTTTCATAAAGGGCATCATGGAATTAGGTTCTTTTTTGGGGGGTTAACCATTTTCTTGAGCCAAAATCTATTACTGCAAGTTATTCGAGTGAAAAGATTCCTCGCTCATTTCCTGAAGAATTTCGCAGTTTCAACTCTGGGAATTATGGAGAAAAGTTTCAACTCTCCGATGACTTTATTCCGTCCAAATCAACCTACTAGACAAATTCGAACATTAAAATTAAGTTATGATAAAAAGATCACACATTACATTCATAAAATATTTCAGTGATCGCAAGCAAAAATTAAAACTGAAAGAAAGAAACCATCGTTTCAGACGATGTCCGGATTTATCGACCCACCCCTTAACATACAATTCCCAGCGATTTTTTCGAGGCATATTGTTTATACCAATTCCATTTCATTGTGACAAAATAATCACTCCGCATATTCAATTATTTAATCCCTTTCGTGGCAATCAAAGTTAGCACGTTCTTCAGTATACCGTGCAAAAAATAATCATCCTCGCACATAGTTCCTCGAAAACTTGAAATTCTCTTCGGTTTGGTGAGCCATGCGTATAAAAAAATCGGCTTAAATATTATCGATCAAGTTATCTAGTTAATCGGGAAAAACTGAATAAAACAACGTGAGAATATAATGCCAAAAGAATCATCCGGTACATTCAATCATCTCACCTATCTACTAGCTTTTAATGCTTCATTCAATTCTGATTACCTCACAGCCGGAACACTTTGATAAATGATCTCCGCAGCCGCTTTTGTCCCGAGTTGGATGGATGCTTGCACCATACACCTCTTACACAAACGAAGCAAATTTAGTCCCCCCATTCCGCCCTTTCAGACGACCCCGACAAAGGTTGATTTTTAAGAAAAAAGGAGAAAGTCAGACGCAGAAAAGGTCATGACAAGTGGTCATTTGACTTCTAGAACTTTCAAAATATTAATGGAACAAAACGATAAGCCACACACGCGTCTACACTCATTCTGAATGATCGCGACTGTTTAATATGTGAAGCCTTGGGCGGACTACGAAGACCTCAGGATGAATACACATAAAAGGATTCTTTCTCATTGATCAAAAAACCTTCCTTGAGGCGAATGTATGACGACGGAAAAAAAGGATGACCGGACATTGCTTTTGATGCTTTGATAGATGCTTGTCCTTTTACGAAGGTCGCCTTTTACGACTTCGACTCAGATCCGGAAGAACCCGTATTTCATATATACATACGTACTCGCAAAACATTTCCTAGTAGTCTCCCTGATATCTACGATTGATCCATTGACGAAAAACCAGTCCTAATTAAAGCCCATATTTAAGATCGCGTTTTCGAAAAATTATCCAGAATATTCCACTCACGTACGCAAGCATGATGAAGACTCCAAAGAAGCTTTGATATTGCGTCCTTTTCTTACGCTTCCAGCGTTTTTGAACACAGTCCGTGAGCAATCAATCATCTCAGCATCCACTCTTTCCACCACGTCAGAAATTTCTGACTTTTACACAGAAGTTCAATCTGAGTTGCGTTGCCAGAAGGGAGAAAGGCATCGATCCCATTCACGGGTAAGAAGGTTCAAGCTTCTCGTCGACGCGTCACGAAATATCTAAAGAATCTTGCACCTCCGACACACACACCCCTTTTCGTCCATTTTGGGAGCTTGTGCGAAGAAAAGAAATGAAGCAACGAGTTCGCGATAAGGATCTTGAAAACATTGCACGTCTTCGCCGCATTGTTACACAATATAAATGAAGGTCACACATATGAAGAAGAGCTACACGAGCATCGGTGACGTAAAAATTTGCGTTTCACGTTTTTACATACCAAAAGACACTCGGAATAGTTTCAGGGTAAAAATCTTTTGCAATCTTTTACTCGGATGATTCATGATCTCCGCTTAATCATATGTTGGCGCCAGAAACTCGCATCGGCAACAGAACCATAAGCGCGACGCCATTACGTACCTACGCTCTTAAATCAACGAGCAACAACAATATGTTTGTCATAAGTCATGAAAGATGACCTGAAAATGCGGTTTAACACAGCGAATATCTCAAGGCAATATGAATGGTAAGGTAGAAATGAAAAGAATAGTAAATTTACTTCTTCCAGCTTAATTTATATTTACCAGGCACTATAAAATACCTGCATATATGCCAGGCATTTCTATAGAAGAAAATATTGATGTTCTCCTTTAATTTTGTCACATCAAAATAGTCACTCAAACAAAAAGATAGAAAATCTGACTGATGACTAAAAATCTTATCAAAATTGACAGAAATCGCTCCATAACCTTCTTGGTGATCCTCACTGAAGCATTCATTCTTTGGTGACCAAACGCTCAGAAATGGTGGCTACATGTATGCTGACCTCGGATGTGCTGGCAGTGGAAAACAAGATCAGGTAAAATACTTAACAAGACAATTCATTTGTTCACCTCGTATAAAAAAAATACTCAGTACAGCTATTTAATTCTGAGAATATCCTTTTGAAATTTTAATCAAATGCTGGCCTATATTGGGAGTCTCATCTCAACAGATCCACTCAAAGAAATACTATTTTTGCTTGGTTCTTATCCCCCAATTTCAATTAGGACTGGCATATTAAATTCAGAATTTGCAATACAGTAGCTTAGTCAAATACAGTACAATTATACTAGATATATAAAAGCCAAATCCTGAGAAAGGAATCATTTTCATCATTTTAAAATAAAAGAGTATCCACACACAAGTTCAGGTGGCGTTGAATATGCTAAACATATATAGATCCAACAACACTTTCTCTTAGCTAAATTATTCTTGATTTGAATAAATAATGTCACTAATTAGCAAACATTCGCGGATTACTCTCTAAAAATCGCAAATAAAAAAACCGAGAGGTAACTCACCAGATTCCCAACGTCTCCTCAGAATTCATCATAAAATAAAAATCACACATTTCTCGTGTCGAAATAGTATCTTCTCCTTTATGCCTCCATGCATTTTTCTATGGGAGGAAGATGGAGTTTCTCCCCCCCGCCGCGGATGTATAAAAGTTAACTAACATGGCGGAGCTCCTCACCCCCAAAAAACAACAGTCACGCGGGAAAAAATATAACTGCTGAACTAAGCAGAAATTGTGTAAACCATCAGTTGTGCAAACAGAACCGCCCCAAATTGACAAAATTAAAATAAAACAGCAGACAAAATAAACAATGTCAAGAAGGGGGGAATGCCGCATAAGAATGTGTTTTCTCTCTATAGTTGCTCTTCTTGGGACGGTTCCCAAAAAAAAAAAAAACGCACCACGTTATTTTTCCTTCTCGCACATACACAAGGCACTGGGTGATTAATCATGAGAATTGCCCACTAGAAAATAAATCCCGGAATGCCCCCATTGATCCAGGTAACACCATTCGAAAACACACACAAAAAAAGTACACCACGCAAAGGCACATTCATGACCAGCTGCCATGAGGAGGGAGAGGTTTCAGGACGCAAAATATTTTCTAAATTTCTTTTTCCCACTTTACACAATAAAAACCCTGTTGAATCACTGGCTGGCCGGTAACGAGTTTTCTCTTCTTGTTTTAAGCTGGTTCCTCACCCAAAAATCCATCCTCAAAAAAAGCTCCCAGATGTCACTCCCTTATATGCATGTCACAAAGTGCTGACTCAGTTTGCGGTCAACCATTTCCTTTCTATGAATTCAGTTGACTGCATACTGAACTAGCACCAACGTTTTTAAGCTTCCAGTTTCAGAATTGGCAAGAAGTCTGTCAGCTGGTTCACAAAAATCAAAAGCAGCAACAATCCCACCACACCTTTTTTCTTTTGCAAGCAGAAACATTTGGCTGATCCCAGAAAAGAATATTTACTGGAAGAGAAATTAAAAAATGTTTCGCTCACAATTTTTTCCAGGACTGTTGCAAACATGACTATAACATCCAACATGTTGGTACTGATTCAGTACGTGGTCCACGGATCATTCACGCCATAAAAAAAAAGAGGATCTCATGAGTCGGCGGTTACAAATCTGCAGACATAAAAACCTCAAATGTTTATACACGACTCCTTAAAAAAATGCCCCAAGTGCTGCTCCTTATACAGGGGTGTGTAAATATGCCCTAAGTGACTTCTGACTCCATTGAACAGCAACTTGACAAAAAATAAAAGGTCTGGTACTTCTTCACCACAAAAACAAAAAAACCACTCTTCCTTTCAAGGGAATGCCCATCCATTGCAAGCTAAAACACCCACACAAAGCTCAAGCGTCTCACACCACAGAACAAAAAAGGGGGATCAGAAACCTGCGTGAGATTCCCGCCAGGGGGCGCTAAGGCAACTGCTTTTTTACGTATCTTTCTCCGGGGAAAAATAAACATAAAAAAAGCACCAACAGTGGCTTCAAACAGGCACTTGGACCCCCACGATTTGTTTTTCCTTTTCCACACAATTTTCACGGGGAACAAATAAACAACGCTTTTCTTACCCGTAAAAAACGCTTTCAGGTGACCGGAAATGCGGCTCGTTTCCAAACCTCAGTGTGACTAATAATCTCTCTTTTTCTTTCGCCCTCTGTCCACATTTAAGGATTGTCTCAGTCACACCATAAAGCAAAATACCTCAATTGTATCCCCCAAAACCGTTTCTTTGTAAAAGATAATCTTCGCAAACAGAAACAATTGACCAAAATATATCCAAGTCTTGAAAAAAAAACCACAGGAATGCCTCTAAAAAAGAAAACTGCTCATAATAAATCCCATCTCAGTCCCTGATTAGTTCTCCCATCACATATATATATATTTTAGAAACAGTCAAAAACTTGTATTCTTATCAAATAATTGCTGAAATATTCTGGAATGGATCTGAACCACCAGCACCTCACAGAACTGCAAACTCCGAAAATTTTGAATGGAAGCCAGTTAAAAATCAGTTCAGTTGACAAACACACAAAATTATCTTGGTTTCAGGATTGCAAAATACTGAAAGTGCAAACTTATTCCTCCCAATGCCACTTAGCTCACTTCAAGTTGTACTGGGACCAAGGCAGGGAAAAAAGCCACACGCTACTAATTTTCCCTCACAGCTCCCCCTGGATATGATGCATCAAAATAGCAGCCATGAATGCCAACATTTCCTTTGGCAAGTTCATCTGGGCATGAGTAACTTCAGGAAAAAAACAGCAGTCAACACTTCTGGGTACATCAGATGGAACAAAAATAAAATCAATGCCACTTAGCCTACCAACAGCAAACTTTTCCTCCCCACAAGTTGTACTACCACCCAAAATAAAAATAAAAATCATAACTAAAAAAAAAAAATGCCCCTTCTCACATCTTAGCAAGATAAGACATGTCAACAGCAGCACTAGTCACCAAACTTGGTGAAGGTGAGGCTGGGGTTTCAGCCCTCTCATACAAACCCATCCTCTGGGAACAATCCATTACTGCCACAGAGTTTTCAGGACTTTCTCCAGGGAATCCAACCATGCCTTTACTACCCTCTTCTGGAGGGGATTCCAGGTGCAGGACATGGTGACCATAATGCAGGTTGTCCAAATGAGGAGGGATCTCTTCCTCATGCCTAGGATAGTAGTGTTGATGATGCTGGTGGTGCTGCTGCTGTTGTTGTTGCTGCTGCTGCTGGTGATGCTGCTGCTGGTGGTGGGGATGGTGGTGGTGATGGGCAGGCTGGGGGGCCATGTGGTGTGGATGGTGCTGGGAGTGATAATGGAGACTCTCTTGGCTCTCCAACAACACTCCTGGCTGATGAGGATGCACCACAATCCTGCAAAATCCAAATCAGGACTTGAGTTTATGTGCACAGTAAATAAATCAAACACTGTTTCACACTGACGAGTACTTTTTTTTTCAAACCACCAGGGACAATTGAAAATTTCTCAATTTCAGAACGATAAATTCAAATAATCTCAATAAGAAGGAAAACAACGGGGATTCGGACAAAAATGACAAGAAAGATGAGTGCCAACATCGATAATGTTCAAGTAGTAAATGAATGTTACCTGGAGCCGATGTTCATCAGTGAACTGGAAGTGGCTCCCAAGTGATTCATCCCCGGCGACACTGGCGGTGACATGGCAGAGAAGAGCAGTTCCGTGTTATTGTGCTGCACTGCTCCAGACTCTGCTTCGTGTCCAGCTGACGTTGTCATGAGCATCGCTGCTCTGCTGCCGAAATCATCCGAGGATCCCTTAAAAAAAAAATTCAAATAAATCGAAGGACTCGGACATTAAAAAAAAGAGAAATTCCTCCTCTTCGATGACTGGAAAGAATATTCAAGAAAATTTTCTCAATTTTAAACCTTCCGTCACATTGCTCAATTATTGCGAAATTCTCGTCATTTTTTTTAAATAAACCAATTAATCTTTTATAATCCCAAGAATATCTCAACGTCAGGGATGACGAAGGCATGCGCTAGATGCAAAAAGAAATGAAATTCGTACTTGAGAAGAGGAGAAAAATAGGTCGAAAGATGCCAAATAATAAGACATTATTATTCCATTATTGACATTCCATTACTGTATACAAGGGTTGGCGCAGGGCTGAATATTTTTAACACTGGTAAAATGTATAAACAAATTTTTAAAATTTACCCAATGATGCTCACGAGGTATCTGAATATCTTTCCACATTTTCAAGACTTTTCTTTCAAATAATAAGACAGTATTATTCCATAATTGACATTCCATTATTGTATACAAGGGTTGGCGCAGGGCTGAATATTTTCAACACTGGTAGAATGTTTTAAAAACATTTCTAAAATTTACCCCATGATGCTTACGAGGTATCTGAATAATTTATTTTCACATTTTCAAGACTTTTCTTTCACCTGGGTTAAAAATAATGCGTTCAATCTCGCGCGGAACTGGGACAACCCCTTGCATTGATACAATGCATAAAATTTCCCATCCAAAAAATTGTTTTCCAAGGAAAATCACCTGTGAATCACTGTTGGATCCCCCCATGGGACCCCAGTCAACCTCCATCTTCAGACCCAGGACTTTTCCGGGCCTCATCCAATGTCCGTCCATGTTGACCCCCGTCGAGTCCGTCCTTTTCCGTCGACCCCCGCGCTTCTCATTAGCAAAACCAACATCTTTCCTGTCCCTCTTCAACTCTGCAAAATACTTGTTGATGTGCTCCTGGATCGGCTCACTGGTTTCAATTAGTGCAGACAGGGCCTGCTGGGGTGTTATTGCCGAACTACCACCTGGTGTCTGATCACTTGTCCTCGATTCTTCTTCTTCTTCTTGCTGATAATAAAAAAATAATAATATGAAAATGGGAAAAATTAAAGGGAAATCAAACGAAAATCAGCATCACTGCAAGATACTGTATTAGAATTTTAAAATTTATTTTGCGAATATATACAAACTATCTGATAATGCCTGAACAGTGACATCAATTCTAGCGTGCGATGATTTCAAAAATCACCTTCCCAGCAAAATCTATGACAGAAAGGACGAAATTCTTTGTCAACATTTGTTTGAAAGTTACCCTGCGAATATCCGTTTCGCAAATCTGAATTCTAAAAATCCAATAATGTCTTCACCGTGTGATTCAATTCTTGCACGTGGATTTTTAAAAATTGTTCTCATGCGACATCTATGACAGAAAGAACGAAATTCTTCTGACACAGTTGTTTCAGAGTTACATTACAGTTTTGTCCTCTAATCTAAATCTTATAGACCTAAAAATCCGCAAAATAATTTAAACCGTGATAATTCAAACATTCCAAAAATCGTATTTCTTTCAGGTTTCTTCCCGAATTCCCTCAGAAAAATGAATCAAAAACCTCTCGAACTCAAAGGCTTTCCTCCTCGAAATTCCACAACTCGAATTTCTTGGAGGCCTTTTGGCTCTGCTTTTTTTTGACACAGGAGAGAAAAAAAGTATTTCATTTAAAATGCAATTCAAGTCCAAGAATTATCACCAGTCACAATAATTTGCTGTAATCCTGCTCTCTCTTTTTTTTCCCCAACAAAAATGCTAATTTTCCTGACTTTAATCTTGCTGTTGGTCCCTTCAGGAAATTTGACTCATCAACTGTAATAACCTTGAGAGGACGATCGGGGTCAAACTTTATCTCCGGCGACATGCCCGAGGATTGCTGTCGCACCATATCGTTGACATGGAAATACAACTTGCGCTTGAGGCGGCGTTCGCGGGCCATGATCCGGTGGCGTTCCCGCCAGGCGGCCGCCGCCGCGGGATTCGACATGATCTCGCGACGACGCGCCTTTTCCCGTTCTCGCTGCTTCCGTTTCATCTCTTCATAGGCTTCCGGGTTCTGCTTGATCCGCTCACGCTGCTCCTTGACTCGCTCTCGCTGCTTCCGCTTCATCTCTTCGTATCTGCATTGTGACAAAATTAACCGCATTTTTTTTTCACCCTCGAACACGGAGAAATTGGCAAAAAAAAAATTAACAAGCGTTCTTCGTAAGAAACAATCGTAGAGAAAACTTTCAAAATTTACGGATTCAAGATCAAAAATACAATCAAACCTCTTCAAGTCAAATTTCAAAAGACCAGCAAAAAAATATCGAGTTTGAGAAAAAAGTATTTTCGCATTTAGGGTAAAAAAAAGAAAGAAGAATCACAGGAAAATGTAATTGGCGACATTTTAGGTCGTAAATTGCGTTGACAGGATGCTGATCTTGGGGGAAAGGGTTAATTTGCTCAATTAGTCTCAACTTCCTCTCGAAACACATCGGTTCAACATTCGTATTGCTTTTCTCTCTCTCTCCTGCGTCAAAAGAAATAATAGCCAGAAAGCCGACAGAAAATTCGAGTTATCGTGGTTTTGAGAAGGAATTTTTTTTCGAGTCGGGGAAATTTTTCAATCATTGTCTCCAACGGAATTCAGACGGAGACTTGAAAAAGATTCGAGTTCAACTGTATCCTGATTTCATGCAATAATCCAAAAAAATAATCGACGATTTCCTGCTCACGTGCCAAAAATCAAGCATGAAACACCAAAAAATAAAAAAAAAAAGGAAACCTTTCGGGATCCTCGCGGATCTCCTTCAACTTCTCCCGTCTCCGCATGCGGTTCTTCTCCTTCAGTCTCTCGTACTTTTCGGGATCATTCTGCTGAATCTCCAGCCGCTTCTGCTTCACATAATTCCTCGCTTGCTCCCTCTTGACTCGCTTCGCGTCCACCGGTTCATGCTCCTGATGATGTTGCAATTGTTGATGTTCATCCTGCAGCAACATGGAGTAGTCTGGCTTGGTGTCCACTGTGCAGTCATCCTCGGGATGTTGGGGCAGCTGGAGATGCAGGTGGTGCTGATGGTGTTGATGATTATTGTGATGGTGGTGTGGGTGTTGGTTGTGGTTGTGCACCGGGGAATGGAGGCAAGTCGGCTCGTGCTGTTGAGTTTGATGGTAGTCCACGGCTACTGGGGTGTTGGATGAGAGCTGGACGTAGTGGGTCTGGATTTCCGTTTGAGGACGATCCATCGGAATTGACTCTTGCTCATAACCTAAAATAAAGTAATGAAAAAATTAAATAAAATTTTAAACATTCAGGGAATTAAAAAAAATGCACGCGTGAAAATTGAAAAATATTTTTTCCACACAGACAGGATTGCCTTAAGGTCATTTCAAACTGGAAGAAAATACTGGCTAAGAAATGATGAAAAAAGCAGGCCTTTTTAAAATACACAAAACTCAATGAATAAAAAAATAAAACTTCAATTGACTCTTGCTCATAACCTAAAATAAAGTGATGGACAAATTAAATACAATTTTAAACATTCAGGGAATTCAACAAAATGCACGCGTGAAAATGGAAAAATATTTTTCCACAAAGACAGGATTGCCTCAAGGTCATTTCAAACTGGAAGAAAAGACAGTGGTTAAGAAATGGTGAAAAAAGCAGGCCTTTTTAAAATACATGAAACTCAATGAAGCAAAAAAAAAAAAACGTCAAGTGGCCACAATGAGAATAATATTCAGCAAGGAAATGAAAAATAAAAATAATTCAAAAGCCCAAGGAGTTGACATTTGGGAAAGAGATTTAAATTCAGTTCTCCAGCATTCATGATTATTTATTTTCATGTTACAGTATATTAAAATCGGACTGAAATTCATAGAGAAATTTAAAAAAATTCACTAGTTCTCAGGTCTAACACACCAACTCTTAATAGACATTTTTGTTGTTTAAGCAAGGGATTACATTATGGTGCACTTGTTGCACAGGAGTTCTTGATTCCTCTCCAAAAACAAATAATACGGTAGTAAATCAGTGCCACACAAATGATTTGTCCTAGATGAAAATGGGCCGAAGTCAAAGAAATCAAGGCTTTTACTAGCAATAGTATTAAGGGAATCACAAGTCCATGTTGATACAAGAACTCAGGGAAGTTTTAAAAACTACATTTCTTACTTTACATCATTGAAAACCATATTTCTGTTCATGTTGAACACCTTCCTTTTTTGTAAATTTTATAAATAAATTGTGCAAGCTTTCCTGGAAACATCGGTGATTCCAGCATGATGGCATCTGATGTAAAACTTGAACAAAACAGCCATTTGCTTCAACAAGACTCAGTATGCGCAAATATATTCTGTCTTTTCAGATACAGTACATTGAAATAGAGCAGGAAAACAAACCATTTGAGCTTTGAATTATTTCATGAGGCTTCCTCTCTTGTATGACTAACTCAGTGACCTAAACAAGAAAAAAAAAAAAACTGTGAACACACTTACAGGTGGTACCTTGCAATTTGACCTCCTGCAATTCAACTCTCCCACAATTTGATTGCAGGGATGTTGACAAGCAATACAACCTCCTTCAACCACTTTTCCAGTGTTTTTTTTTGCTGCTGTTTCTCAAATTTTCACAGTGTCTTGCAATTCAACTGCTTTGCAATTTGACCCTAGCCTGGCAACGGATTAAGGCCAAATTTTGGGGCACCACCAGTATTTTGATTACAGTAGAAACCCTCAACTGAACCTTCCTCTCATGCAGTACCCTCAATTTCATACAACAAAAAATGTGCAAGGACAAATTATGGCACTGAATGGAGGTTTTGACTGCAGTCCATCAGGAACCACAAAAAAAAAACTGACCAGGATGCAGAACAGTGAGGCCCTGGTCCGGCAGTCTTCCAGAGCAGGAACTATCCGTGGATCCTCCACTAGAGAACCGCCCACGATCCGCTCCGGCGCCACCACCGCCACCTCCTGCATCGCCACCACCACCGCCGCCATCCCCGTCCTCAAAAGGCGGCTGCTGGTACATGAGGTTCAGACCTAGTCCTCGTTGCATGCCCACATCCACGTCTTCTTCGTCATCCCTTTCTCGCGATTTCATCTCGGAAAAGCTCGGCAAGTGGTGCAAGTGATGGNTCGGAAAAGCTCGGCAAGTGGTGCAAGTGATGGTGGTGGTGGAGATGATGATGGTGGTGCTGGAGTCCCACTGGGGGAGGCATCAGATATTCGGGCTCGCCTCTTGGCGACCCCTGCGGAAAAAAAAGAGAAAATAATCAGACATATTTTCTCTATTCCTTTTTGAAATCTGGGATTAACGAAATATTATTGCAAATGGAAAAATCGCCGCAAGATACCAAAAAGAAAGCAAAGTGAAGAAGGAACAATATATGTAGAAAATTAATTTAATCATCAGAAATATTTCTAAAATCCCTCCTTGAGCTTCGGGCAAAGCAAAATATTATTACAAATGAAAAATTGCTACTAATAGAGAAAAATGAATAAACGAACAATACATTTTTAAAATTTAATCAATTATCAGAATAGTTCCTAGAATCCCTTTTTCAACTTGGGGCGTAGCACAATACTGTAATATAAAATGGATAAAAATAATATAATAAACAGTACATAATAATATAAAAAATAATAAATACAGTACATATAATAATACTGTATACAAAATAATATAAATGGAGAGATCGCCATAAAAATATATCAAACTACAGCGAAATGAAAACGGAACAACGAAAGTTAATTAAATTCGTCATCAGAAAAATTTCCACAATCCCTCACAAAATATATTTGCATGTCGAGGGGATTCGCAGGCTTTTTCGACCGAAGTTCGGCCACAGGTAACCTACGACATAATATATTTTTTAATACCCTTGCGAATAATTAATTTACCCCAAATTTCTGAAAATACATTTCGGGAATATATTTGAAGAAGGTACAGTACATCGGGACTTTTGCAATCAAAATTCTCTGAACTCGACTGAAATCGTGCAAAAAGCGGCTCGAGAACACGTCAGTAAATTAAATGAGGATTAATCGAGATTCTCTCTCGTCTGTAATTGTCTGCAAACATGAAAAAAAGGTGTGAGAAAATGTGGTCTAACGGTTCTTTCGACAATTTCATCAGAAAATAAACGCTTCATTTGATGAAATAGTTTTAATCTAAAATCAAGAACAATTTGTCTCGCGTTTCAAAAGCAATATACCTGTACAATGAAATCAAGTGGGAAATTTATCCATTCCAAAAACAAAATCGGCATAATTTTCTTCACGTGCTCCGGGGAAAAAAATTCGGAAATTTTCAGGGACTTGAACATCATTAAGTCTAACTTCTCATCAAAATCATTTAATGAAATTTCATAGAAACAATTAATTAAAATCAACTCTTCTCGAAAAAATTTCACCCCTCAAAAACTCGAATTTTCTGAAGGCATTTTGACTATTATTTCACCGACACAGAAGAGAGAAAAGCAATGAAAAATTAGCTAGACGTCTTTTAAATGAATTAAAAGACTATTTGACAAATCAACCCTTCCCTCAAAGTTTAGCATCCTGTCAACTAATATAAAACGCAATTCAAGGTCTAGAGTTCCACCAATTACAATATCCGGAAATTCCTCCCTCTACATAGTCTGCAACAAAAAAAATGCTTGTCCTCCCTCCTCAACTCAAAAATTTATGTTTTGGCTGATCCCTATAAAATGACGTTCATTCATTCGACAAAATGGCAAAATTGAAAATATTACGAAGGAAAAGTATTCACACTCACCTGGCGGTACAACGCGTCCATTTATGCACATCTATGTTCAAGTCGGCTCGTGCTGTTGAGTTTGATGGTAGTCCACGGCTACTGGGGTGTTGGATGAGAGCTGGACGTAGTGGGTCTGGATTTCCGTTTGAGGACGATCCATCGGAATTGACTCTTGCTCATAACCTGAAATAAAATAAAAATAATAATGTAAATTTTCAACATTCAGCAAAAACAAAACAATGCACGCGTGAAAAGGAAAAAAAATTTTTCCACTAAGACAGGATTGCCTCAAGGTCATTTCAAGCTGGAAGAAAAGACAGTGGTTCAGAAATGATGAAAAAAGCAGGCCTTTTTAAAATACACAAAACTGAAGCAAGAAAAAAAAATCCCCAACGCAGGGGGCATTCATACTTCAAATGGCCACAATGAGCATAATATTCAACATGGAAATGAAAACGCAAAAGAATTCAAAAGCCCAAGGAGATGACATTTGGGAAATAGATTGAAACTCAGTTCTCCAGCATTCATGATTATTTATTTTCATGTTACAGTAAATTAAAGTTGGACTGAAATTCATGGAGGAATTGAGCAAAAATTAACTTGTTCTCAGGTCTAACACACCAACTCTTAATAGACATTTTTGTTGTTGTATCAGAGGCACTAAAGAAAGGAAAACAACGTTTAAGCAAGGGATTACATTACGGTACACTTGTTGCACAGGAGTCCTTGATTCCTCTCCAATAACAAATAATACAGTAGTAAATCAGTGCCACACAAATGCTTTGTCCTGGATGAAAATGGGGCCAAAGTCAAAGAAATTAAGGTCTTTTTCTAGCAATATCAGTGTCATTACTGGGAAACACAACTCCATGTTGACATAAAAACTCAGGGAAGTTTTAAAAACTACATTTCTTACTTTACATAATTGAAAACTATATTTCTATTGATGTTGAACACCTTCCCTTTTTGAAAATTTTATAAATAGATTATGCAAGCTTTCCTGGAAACATTGATGATTACTACATGATGGAATCTGATGTAAAACTTGAACAAAACAAATATTTGCTTCTATAAGACACACTATGCGCAAAAATCCAATTTATTCTGCCTTTTCAGATTCAGTATATTGAAATAGAGCAGGAGAACAAGCCATTTGAGCTTGAAATTATTTTATGAAACTCTCTCTCTCGTAAAACAGGCTCAGTGGCATAAAAAAAAACTGTGAACACACTTACAGGTGGTACCTCTCAATTTCACCTCTGGCAATGCAACAGTTGAATTTACTGGGAGGTTGACTCGCAATACAACCTCCTTCAGCCACTTTTCTCGAGTTCTTGCTACTAATTCTTGATATTACAGTGTTTTGCAATTCAACAGATTTGAAATTTTACCCCAGCTAGGGTCAAATTTTGGGGTACCACCTGTATTTTGTTTACAGTAGAAACCCTCAACTGAACCTTCCTCTCATGCAATACCCTCAATTTCATGCAACAAAAAATTTGCAAGGACAAATGATGGCACTGAATCGAGGTTTTGACTGCAGTCCACCAGGAACCACAAAAAAACAAAACAAAAAACTGACCAGGATGCAGAACCGTGAGGCCCTGGTCCGGCAGTCTTCCAGAGCAGGAACTATCCGTGGATCCTCCACTAGAGAACCGCCCACGATCCGCTCCGGCGCCACCACCGCCACCTCCTGCATCGCCACCACCACCGCCGCCATCCCCGTCTTCAAAAGGCGGCTGCTGGTACATGAGGTTCAGACCTAGTCCTCGTTGCATGCCCACATCCACGTCTTCTTCGTCATCCCTTTCTCGCGATTTCATCTCGGAAAAGCTCGGCAAGTGGTGCAAGTGATGGTGGTGGTGGAGATGATGATGGTGGTGCTGGAGTCCCACTGGGGGAGGCATCAGATATTCGGGCTCGCCTCTTGGCGACCCCTGCGGAAAAAAAACGAGAAAATAATCAGACATATTTTCACTATTTCTTTTTGAAATCTGGGATTAACGAAATATTATTGCAAATGGAAAAATCGCCGCAAGATACCAAAAAGAAAGCAAAGTGAAGAAGGAACAATATATGAAGAAAATTAATTTAATCATCAGAAATATTTCTAAAATCCCTCCTTCAGCTTCGGGCAAAGCAAAATATTATTACAAATGAAAAATTGCTACTAATAGAGAAAAATGAATAGAACAATACATTTTTAAAATTTAATCAATTATCAGAATTGTTTCAAGAATCCCTTTTTCAACTTGGGGCGTAGCACAATACTGTAATATAAAATGGATAAAAATAATATAAAAAACAGTACATAATAATATAAAAAATAATAAATACAGTACACATAATAATACTGTATACAAAATAATATAAATGGAGAGATCGCCATAAAAATATATCAAACTACAGCGAAATGAAAACGGAACAACGAAAGTTAATTAAATTCGTCATCAGAAAAATTTCCACAATCCCTCACAAACTATACTTGCATGTCGAGGGGATTCGCAGGCTTTTCCGACCGAAGTTCGGTCACAGGATAACCTACGACATGATATATTTTTAATACCCTGGCGAATAATAAATTTGCCCCAAAATTTCTGAAAATACATTTCGGGAATATATTTGAAGAAGGTACAGTACATCGGAACTTTTGCAATCAAAATTCTCTGAACTCGACTGAAATCGTGCAAAAAGCGGCTCGAGAACACGTTAGTAAATTAAATGAGGATTAATCGAGATTCTCTCTCGTCTGTAATTGTCTGCGAACATGAAAAAAAAAGGTGTGAGAAAATGTGGTCTAACGATTCTTTCGACAATTTCATCAGAAAATAAACGCTTCATTTGATGAAATAGTTTTAATCTAAAATCAAGAACAATTTGTCTCGCGTTTCAAAAGCAATATACCTGTACAATGAAATCAAGTGGGAAATTTATCCATTCCAAAAACAAAATCGGCATAATTTTCTTCACGTGCTCAGGGAAAAAAAAATTCGGAAATTTTCAGGGACTTGAACATCATTAAGTCTAACTTCTCATCAAAATCATTTAATGAAATTTCATAGAAACAATTAATTAAAATCTACTCTTCTCGAAAAAATTTCACCCCTCAAAAACTCGAATTTTCTGGAGGCATTTTGACTATTATTTCACCGACACAGAAGAGAGAAAAGCAATGGAAAATTAGCTAGACGTCTTTTAAATGAATTAAAAGACAAATTTGACAAATCAACCCTTCCCTCAAAGTTTAGCATCCTGTCAACTAATATAAAACGCATTTCAAGGTCTAGAGTTCCACCAATTACAATATCCGGAAATTCCTCTCTCTTTCCCTCTACATAGTCTACAACAAAAAAAATGCTTGTCCTCCCTCCTCAACTCAAAAAATTATTTTTTGGCTGATCCCTATAAAATGACGTTCATTCATTCGACAAAATGGCAAAATTGAAAATATTACGAAGGAAAAGTATTCACACTCACCTGGCGGTACAACGCGTCCATTTATGCACATCTATGTTCCCACTTCCGGCCCAGTTTCCCCCGCGCCGAGTCCAAGTCCCAACAACACACACACTTTTTTCCTCTTCCAACTTACTTTTTTTCAGTTATTTTACACAACAACAAAAAAAAACCGTAACTCAGGAGGAAAAAGGAAAAAATCAAGGGGAGTATGAAATCGTCCGCTTCCCTCCCTCCTCTCACATCCTGTCGTCTATTATTCAAAAAAAAGGGAAATAGATCGTCATTAAATGTTGATTACCGCCTCCTGCAACACACAATGGCACCACGTCAAGATAATTACCCTCACACACACACACACACTGACTCACCTCCTTTAAAAATAAAAAAAACCCGGCGAAAAAAATAATGTCCCTTCAATGGGTGAAACTTGCACAACCTCCTATCACAGAAAGAAAGGCGATAAACTTTCGGGCTCCACTTACTCAATATTACTTACTCGTCAAAATTGTGCCTCCCGATGACGCGTCCGAGGTTCAGAAAATTTCCCGCAAAAGTTTTTACTCCGATCGTCTAAATCAGCTCGCGTTAATCCGGATTACGGGGCTCGGGATATAAACAATTAAAAAGAAGATGCGACTGGCGGCGATTTGGGGCGTTTTCACGCTCCTCGCGGTCCTCGTCGCAGCAGATACTTCCTTCTATGCGGATGGCAGCATTGACTACGAAAATAGCGATGTAAATCTATTACCACTCGAAAGAGAAACAAAAGTTTCCCCTGTAATGGCTGAATTAAATTCAGGAAATTCCCCACAGATGTCGTTCAATTCAACTGGATGGCGGGATTCCCCGTAATTTTTCGTGCGCCTAAACTTGCTTCACATTACGCTAAGCATTAAAAATATACATTCAAACACGAAACATCACTTGAATTTCAATTTTTTAGGCACAGCAAAACTTCAGAAACTAAAATTTCGAAATGCCTAATTTTATGTTAAGATCCTGTTTGAATTCCCGTAGATACAATTCATTAAAAGCCTCTTTAATTCGAATGCTTCCCCAATAACAATTAAGATTTCTTTTATTTCCCACAAACATTTTTTTTCCCAAACTCGAATTTTCGCTGGCCCTTTGAAGTTCGACTGCAACAAGAAACAACTCACGAGAAAATGATCACACACTCATCTGTCAGTTGACGGAATAAAATTCAGATCACTCACCCTGAATGCTAAGAATAATATTGCACGTTAAATTTCTAACATAATTGGTCAACATTTCCACAACATCACAACTGATTAAGAGTCAGAAACGCAAAAAATTGCGTCTCATATTTCCCACATTTTTCTTTTCAACAGTTCGATGACCTAGCCTCTCCCGTGGCTTCCCAGACGCAAACCCAACCGGTGTCCGATGACAGGAAGGATGTTGTGCTTGAATCCCGAAAGCCCGTCACACAAGATGCCGACGATATCACGAACCCGGAATACTTCAAGGTTTTTTTCGAAATTCACTCACTTTTTGCCAGTAAAAATATTAAGGCCATATTTTTTTCCTATCATAGGAAGCGCGAGCAAACGCTGAACACATCCGGAACTTGGCTTCGAATTCGCGTATAAGAAGCAACGATAAAGTGTCGGATTCGGAGAGCGGACTTGCCCAGTTTCTAGCTGCTCACGCTGTCAAAGACGACGTCAAGAGTAAGTCACGGATTCATCACTTCTTTTTCACTAAAACCACGAATAGCAAAAAACGTACTTCTAACACACACCTTGAACTCATAACACACCGCACTCACTCGAAGATTAACACGCCACCTAGTCAAAGAAAAGTCTAAATAATTTCATCACTCACACTAATTACAGAACTCAATAAATCGTAGGTTGGAAATTTGCGTATAATTCATATGTTTTAGATACAGCCCCGAACTCGGGCCGTCGAACTCGACACACACATAAAAAATTCATCTCAAATACACTGAAGTATTTGATTGTAAATCAGATTTGTTGGAGAAGTTCGTGTTATTTAATTTCAATAATGAATTCTGCAAAAAGAATCCGAATAGAAGGATGGCTCAATTTCGCAGACATATTTGATACCATCTTCCACGCACAAATGCAGTCGATCACTGGAAAATCACACGTTTCCTAGCTAAAACTGGTTCCAAAAAATCAAGGCGCATTCAAAATTTGATTTACTGAGCATAATGACTAACTCAATTATTTGAAACGGTTTCAGTTCAAGGGCAGAAGCTCAGGAATTTTCATTTCTGTTTGAGATTTGGCTAGTACAGTAAGAGAAAAAGTTGAATACCAAACTTTTCTTAAATTCCAGTCTTGGTAAATATGGGTTCATGGTTCGAGTTCAGAAGGTTTTGAATGCATCGCTTCCAAGGGAATTCAGACAGGGACTTGAATGAAATTCTATATAGAGAAGGTTCAAGTTTTCGAGGTTGAACTCCATCTCATGTTCTCCACAGTGGATCAAGACTGGTACGCTCCGAGCCCAAGAAGTGTTCCCCAAATCGCCGCCGGAATCGGGGAATACGAGATCCGCAATCCCATCATCCCAATACAAACACCATACGTCCCTTCATCACCCCCTAATCTTCCAATGACATACATCCCACAAACTCAACCACAATCCTACTATCCGCCACTGGACTATCGTCGACCAATGCGACCACCGAACAGCAACGCGGTCTATGCTAGAGCGATGATGGTCGGCATGAAACCCATCGGACCTCCACTAGAAGTTAATCCTGCTCTGCCATCAATGCAATCGAACTTCAATCCCTATGGTCCCTACGAACCAGTTTCGGGTTCTCAGGTCGAGTATCTTGGGGCCTATGATCCTTACAGCGATCGTTATCCAATGGTGAGACCGACCTACGAGGTGCAAGACGGCGAAGAGGAGGATGAGGATGAAGGTCCTCTGGATGATAGCAAGCTCGACGATCTGCCTGTTCCTGAAGAAGACAAACGTTAGTCAACTTGAAACACTAAACCGAAAAATATAGGTGATACGGGGTCGTGGAATCATTCAATTGTCCCTCATGAAGGGAGAAGTAAACGGTTCTGAAGTCTCGTACCAATAGATCCAGTTCGTCTACATCTGCACGTTAAAGATAGATTGTTACCTCGGAAATCGACTGAACTGTCGAATTTCGACGATTTCCTTTTTCAATGAGAACAATACAGCACACGGTCTGAACGTAGCACGATTCCTTGTCACAGAAATCAAGAAAACCGTGAAGACCCTCGGAGGAAACCCCGGAACAAGTGATATAAAGATGATGTTATACAAGCCTCCTCGACGCTTGTACCTTCCCCTGCTTCGTACAGGTGGTCCTGTTCTAACGCGTCCTTTTCCTCCTCTGTTCTTCCACCAAGTAGAGGGCAGGCCTTTTTGTGTGAAGATCAAAACTAACTCTCAAGGGAAGATAAACGTCATGATCGAAGGAGGAGATGGGAAAGGTAAGTCCTCCGGACCGGATCCGAAGAAACTGGAGGAACACATGACTTCGGCCATCGCGAATGCCGCATCCGTGAAGGAACGAATCGCTGCCCAGGAGGCTTCCGAAACATGGTAATTCACTTGACTAAAACACAGAGAAACACTCACAAACCGCGCTATTTCTTCCTCTTCCAAGGAATCTGACGACAACCGTCACAGTATCTCTGGGCTTCCTCCTGGCTGGAATCGTCGGCATTATGGGATTCACCTTGATGCAACAGCGAGCAAGGCAAGCAGAACGCGAGGATTCAACTACGATTCATTCGCGAAGCGCGTCGAAAGTTGGTTAGTCACGCAATTCCGAATTGTACATCACGCACTTCTACACCTTTTCCACTTGTTTACAGAACTCGGACAAGATCTCTCAGATTACTGTTATCGAGAAGACGTCCGTCGACTTGCACACATCCTCGAGGATGATTAAATTGTTGCGTACTCTCCAATTATATATTATCCAGCGTCTTATTCACGTGTCTGTTGAGCGACTGAATATATCAGCAACGATTCCGACGTGGTTTCCACGCGACTCCACCCAAGAACTAGCTGAACGGCAGCGGCCATGACTGCTAGACTATCTGACGCCAAAGCATTGAGACCACAGAGCAGTTGGATCGAGTAACAGACACTTTCGACGCATGAAACTTGTTATATTTCCCTCATTCGATCCCGGTTCTGTCCAAGGCGGCCCCGAGAAAAAACTTCGCAAAAAACGGCGCCGGAAAGATTTCTGTTTGCGGCGGACACGACGAAAAAAGAGCATGTTAATATGGCTGTTTTTTTCTTCTTTCCCAGCGGTAAAACATCCCTAGACTCCATGTAAATTACAATCCGATTCAATGAAACTGGTTTCCAACTTTCCTGTCTCCTCTTCAACCCCAACGATATGAATAACAACTGCGAGGTCTGTAAACCCACATGCTTATGTCTCAAAAAAAGGGGGAGGAGGTGAAAATGGTCCAAGATAAACTTCGTGGGAGGTAGGGGAAAAAACGGAAGAATTACCAATCCAAACAAAGTCGTCCGCTAAGAAAACGGAGAAACCGCGAATCTTCTTTCATCCAGATTCCCGCCATCACAGATCACCCAAAAAACGAAACAACGGAAAACCCAAGCCGAAAACCTACAGAGGCTTTTTTTTTCCTTTCTGTTTGTTTCCCCCATTTCTTCTGACGGATTTCCTTTTAAAGCACTCGCCGTTCATTCCAAAAAAAAAAGAGAACTTCTTCCAACTGTTTCTTTCACTAAGTTTCACGACCCCTGGCCACACAATAAATTAAAAACAAACAGGAATGTGCACAGAGTTTTTTTTTTCTGCAGTACTCTAATATACTGCACTCAGAGGTGCCCATTTACATTTAGAAACAATTTTTTTTTCAGGACACACCACAAAATGACCCCTTTTTTCGATGTTTTAAGCACAGATTTATACAACGACTGCTGCAGAAAGGTGAATATCTTGGCAACGCCTGGTTGCCTTTCAGTGTCATTAAAAATCTGTGCGGTTTCATTTTATTTTTGGAAGGAGAGTCACGAGTTTTTTTTTTTTTCTTGTGGTTGGAGGGAAGATGGGGGTGAAAACAAATCATACATCACAGAACCAAACGAATAAAATTTCGCAAAAGACCTCCCTAAAAGCACTGAAACACAACAGCAAAACAAGAGACATTTCACGAGAGGGTATAATGAAAGCGGCCATTTTGTTGGCTATTTAGATTGACGGGCCGAGAAAGGAGACGGATTTCTTTTCTTCTTCTTCTTCCTTCGTTTGTTTTTTGTTGTAGATGTAGAAACTTCCTGGTTTTCTTCCTCATTTCTTTGTATTTTCTTCTTCCTTTTTTTCTTGATTTCTAGAGACAAAGAGGGATCTACATTTTGTTTGCATCGTCGCCGGCTCCGAGCTGAGCGGAGGCATCTCCAGCCTCATCAGCGGCCTTTGATTCAGCCTGCTTCAGGGCGTCGTCGAAGTCCTGCGTGGAATTGGATCTGGATCCATTCACCTTGCCCTGAAAAAAAAGCCGGCTCCGAGCTGAGCGGAGGCATCTCCAGCCTCATCAGCGGCCTTTGATTCAGCCTGCTTCAGGGCGTCGTCGAAGTCCTGCGTGGAATTGGATCTGGATCCATTCACCTTGCCCTGAAAAAAATATACAGACATAGATAGATATAAATCACATATTTTTCATTAGAAATTCTATAGCAAACAATTATTTTGGATCTGAATTATAGACTGATTTTGGTAGATGAACACGCGAGAAATTCTGGATGTCGTTCTGGAATTTCCAGGACGCCTCCTGGAGATCCTTCGAGATCCCTTGATATCAACAAGAATACTGAATTTGTCGAATATACAGTATATATATATACACAGTGTATCACTTGATTTTCATTGAGGTTCAACTCAAGACTGATTTTTTTAGATTAAAGAGTCAGAAGAAATTTCGGATATCATTCTGCAAAATCCAGGGTTTCTCCCGAAGATCCTTCGAGATCCCTCAACATCAAGAGGAATATTGGATTTTTTGAACAAGTCACAGTGGCGGCAATCTTTTTCACAAAAAAATTAAATTCAAAAATATCAACTGAAGTAAAACATGATTTGACAAATACAGTAACAGTACAAAGGAAAAAATATTTGAAAAATACAGTACTTCGATTGCAAGAAAAAAAAACAAGAGAAAATGTTCACACATTCTCCAGCATGAAAAAGTGTGGCAAACATTTCAACAGCGCATATAAAAAATTAAAACAACGAAATTTCACTAGACCAGAAGTAAAATTTTCACAGCAATGACAGTTTCCCAGAAATTGAAAGTTTTTTTTCTCTGCACAACTGCGACTTTTTTGAGGGCTTGAGATATTTTTGAAATGACCACACCAACAATTAACAGTATTTATATCATTATATGAAAAGCAAAAATAGTCAAGGAAAAAAGAAAATCAATTTCAGCCCCAGAAAAAATAAAATACTGTACCTTATTCATGCAAATATAAGAACCTCTTTCTTCCAATTTCAGACGCTAAAAAACTAGGGGTATACTGTACTAATATTCCCATATTTGTGAAACCTTCAAAATATATGTATCAACATCAGGAAATCTTACTGTTCATAACCCACAAAACAATCACGCACTTCTTTTTTCATATCTTTGGGACTGAAGATGAAAATAATCAAGAAATTGCCAGCTTTCAACACTTCACAATGCATGAGTCATTGACAGAAGAGGGGAAATCAAGGGTTGTGTGACATAGTTTTCCCTTTTTTGAGCATAACCTAAATGCAGTCAGTCAATTTTTGGTTCCTGGAAAGTAAAAAAAAAAACAATAGTAAAGTAAGTGGGTACTTGCTTTTACCCATTAATGGGATTTTAATTTTGTGCATGACAAAGCCACAAGGGGGGTGCTCATATTCAAACAGAGGCGATTATATTTGCGTAAACACAGCACAGTCAAAACTGCTCAATAGAGCCACAGGCTTTCTGAACTATTTCAAAGAATAAGTTGAGTCTCATTGGTCCAATTAGGCAGAGTTTTGGTGTGAATAATCTACTAACATTCCCATTATCTCAAGGTATTTGTTTTTGCCATAGACACTTTTGGTCCAAATAAGCAGCTGGTCCCATTAACAGGTAGTCCAATTAACCAAAGTTGACAGTGTATACCAGTGTTCCCAAACCATTTTGGGTCCACAGACTAGCAAATTTGAATAAAATTGTTTGAAGACGGGCAAATTCTAAAAAAAAATTCTGCAGACTGGCAAAGTTTCATAAAATTTTCACAGACTTGAAAAACATTTCGCTTGATAGATATATAAAATTTGCTGCTTCTCGCAAAAATTGAGCTATAGCTTAATGTCATCAAAAACTTGAAAAGGGGGCCTAGAAAAAAGGTTTCTCAGAATGAAAAATAATTTCTTTTAGCTGATAAAAATGTGTTTGAAGTGTTATTAGGAGAAAAGCAAGCATTTATTTTCCATCTTATGATTTCAATTGCCATTGTTTTTCCAAAGTTTTAGAAAATGATAACAAAGTTCATTGCTACTTTTAAGAAATGTATTATGCTGCAAATTTCCTGTGGACTGGCAAAAAAAACTTCTGTGGACTGGGAACACTGGTGTATACAGTACAGGTGGTACCTCCCAATTTGACTGTCCCAAAATTTGACAGTTGACTTGCAATTTGACAATTGCCCCACAATTTGACCAGCTTTGGCCATTTTTGCGTGTGTTTTTGCACTTGCATTCTTGAATTTCAGAGTGTCTTGCAATTCAACAAATTTTCCAATTTGATCCCAGTTCAGCAATGGATTAGGGTCAAATTGCAACGTACCACCTGTACAGCAATTTTTCACAGTTCAATTTCATCTTTCCCAAAACACAATCACAATCAGCAAAAAATGTCTTCCAAGAGAGAAAAAAAACAACATACTTTTCAATCATCACACCAACCATAAATGAGCATTCAAAAATCGTGGGCCGCATCTCTTGCTACATTTTCCCGGCCCTAGAAAAAAAAAGCAAACAAAACAAATGCTCAAATACGGTACCTGTACCTTCACTGCTCCAACAGTGGCGGAAACGCGTTCCTCAAACGACTTGAAAGTGGCATTTTCTCGCATGTCGCCGAATTTGGACGTTATAGCGCTGCCGAGTCCTCCGAGAGTCGACGTTGTCTTCTCCGCCATCGACTTCACCGCCGACGTCGACTTTTGGTACCTGCGGAAAAAAATTCAACAATAAAAATACAATCAATCTTTAATCAAACGTCATTGAACCTCGATACCTCGAACCTCACTTAGTCGAATTTTATTTTTCAATTCCTATCTTACAAAACAATGTGCAGTGAGACCCCCACATGTGGAAAATTTGGACATAGGGACACTTATTCTCCCATAAAAAATTAATAAAGAAAAGGCCTGACATGAGGACACTGATTCAACATAGGGACATTTTGCAATAAAATTTCAAAACAGTTTTAGGCCAAATTACAAGAAACAGATACAGTATTTCCAACCCTAAAATTGATGTAAGAAAATTTCTTGGGCATTTCTCTCACCAATTTACCATCCATTCAGCTAATTTAAAATAATTACCCCCAGCATAGAGGACTTCTTTCTCTCTTTTTCACTTGAAAGTTATGTTTTTTTTACAGAGAATCTGTTTTCCCATAAAAAATTAATAAAAAAGGCCTCACATAAGGACACTGACTCAACATAGGGACATTTTGTGATAAAATTTCAAATACGTTTCAGGCCAAATTACAAGAAACAGATATTTCCAACCCTAAAATTTACGTAAGAAAGATAAAATTTCAAATACGTTTCAGGCCAAATTACAAGCAACAGATATTTCCAACCCTAAAATTGATGTAAGAAAATTTCTTGGGAATTTCTCTCACCAATTTACCATCCATTCAGCTAATTTAAAATAATTACCCCCAGCATAGAGGTACTTCCTTCTCTCTTTTTCTCTTTAATTATGTTATTTTTATAGAGAATGCAAACATTTATATGTACTGTACAGAGGTATCAGTATTCAATTCCCCAAAAGGCCATATTGTGTTGAAGTATATTGATTAAATCAGTTTCAATTGGGAGACAATTTTTTGTTCATGGAATTACGGAGATTATTTTGTACATAAAACACCAATTAAAAATTATATAATGTAAGTCAAAGAGACAAAGAGACTCGACTTAGGGACACTCTTGATGCACCAGTTATGTCCGCATCTTGGGATCTCACTTTATTGAAAAACCTCCATAACTCGAATTCTCTGTAGGCCTTTCGGAAATTTATTTTATCGACATACGAAAGAGAAAAAAATAAAAATGTAACTCGAATGTTTTTACAGTATTTTATTTTTATTTTTAAAGGAAGTGAAAGACTAATCGGGCAAATGAACCCTTGCCTCCATGTCAACTCTTTCAAAACGCAATTCAATTCCCAGAATATCCCAAATTATAATTTCCGCAATTCTTTCTCCCTTTCCCCAAACACAAAAAACATACTCGTTTTTTAATTTGAATTTTTAGCGATTCCCACGAAATTCGACCCAATGAGGTTCGACTATAATCTATAATAATAATAATAATCTCGATGATCATCTTCTACAATACTGTACAAATACGGTACTCGTAAATAAAATAAATGCGTCAAAAAATAAATAAAAAGCTGAGAACTGAAAGGCAAGAAGAATGACCAGAGTCGAACACAAGCAACAATACAGCTAAAAAAAAAAATGAAGCGTGAAGCTGAGTCGACATGAAAACTCGCGCCGAACGCTCATTCGAGCGCGGCTCAAAACGACGCGTGTGGAAGAAGAAAGAAAAAAGAAACCTTCCCTGTATTCAAATTAACTTGAATAATAAATAGGCTTCAAATTCTCATCATCCGTCTCATGGTTGGAATGAAAGAACGCAGACGGGAACAATTTTAACCAAGTACAATTTGACAATTACTGAAAAATTTACAATTATCAAGATGAAAAACGATAGAAATCGAATCCCATGTTTTATTATTTTCTGAACAGTTACAGGATTTTTCGAGCAATGAAAATTTACCCTCGGAGAAAAAATCTCAGATCTGAAAACTTATTTTTTCCCAAATGAAACAAATACTCCAACCTCGGCAATTTTTTCCGCTTTAGTTCAAAGCTGCTCCAAACTGGAAATATTCTGCAAATTAAATGACTTGCTGCAATTAAGTCCTCCTGGTTCATCCAAAAAGTTTTGAATCACTCCGAATTGAAAAAAAAAAAATTAAAATAATTTCCAGGTAAAGCACTTGAAAAACTGGAAATATTCTGCAAATTAAATGACTTGCTGCAATTAAGTCCTCCTGGTTCATCCAAAAAGTTTTGAATCACTCCGAATTGAAAAAAAAAAAAATAAAATAATTTCCAGGTAAAGCACTTGAAAATTTCTAAAATATTCCTCTGAATAGTAGTGTATAAAAAATTGTTCCGAAGTTGAAAAAAAAAATTCTAGCGCTCTTTTAATTCCCAGACACACGCTCTTTTGAGCCGCGCTCAATAGACCTCATTAAAAAAAACTCACGCGTCTTTCGCAGCTTCCATGGTTTCAGGAAATTAGGGAAACAGGAAGAAAAATTAACTCGGGGATTGTTTCCGCGGTTTCGAACAACAACAACAAAAAAAAGGGGGGTCGGTTTTCCTCTCTTTTATTTTTTACTTTCAGGTTCCGGGG